TCTGCTCGCGTCGTGCTCAGCCTGACGCAGGAGCCCAGCCCTGGCGGGGCCCGCTCAGAAGAGCTGCCGTTCTGGCAGCATGTGTTTCTTTTTTTTATGACTGGTGCTAATTGCAGGCAGCCAGTATGGTCTGGGGGGGGATGCGTCTGGCTTCTCCCTCCCCGAGGACCCTCCCAAGCACTTACTCTTCCTCGAGCTGCCGCGTCCACGCCGCAGAGATGCCTGTCCTGAGGCTGCTGTGGCCGTGCTTCTCCCAGGCGAGGTGATGGGCATGGGCAGCAGCGCCGGTTTCAAAGGTCTGCTTTGTCTTGGGCCGTTTTCTGAGATGCTCCCTTGGGAGGAGAGTGAGGAGGTCGATAGAGTCCATGAGGCATACAGGGAAGGAATCTTTGAGTCAGAGAGATTAGATTTCCTGTTTGAAAAGGAAAAGAAAATAAGCTCAGACTAGACTTCGGGTTTTGTAAGGAAAGCAGGAGTTTGCCCAACGGGGAACTCGATGGTTTTAATGTGCCTGCACTGCTCCTAAGTCAGGGCTTTGGTGGGAAACGCTACGGACCATACAGTTAGTTCAGGTTTCTGATTCCATTATAATGAGGGCTTTCATCTTTCTGCACCTGTTTTATAAGAAATTATTCCCAAATACGGTTAGGATTCATTACAGTAACCCTATGGCGTTTCAAAAGGGATGTCCAGACACCAGTCCTGCTCCTGTAATTTGCCCAAACACTCAAATGTGCCCCTCTCCTGCCCCTTCCCTGCCCAGGAGCGGCTGGCCAGCACCTTCGGCAGGGGCAGGGGCAGGACAGGCCCCTACGGACCGGGCAGGGGCAGCCTTTGTGCTCCTGTCGTCCGGCTCCAGCTTCCCCTCCGCCGCTCGGGCAGCTCTCCGGTGCACAGCAGCTGCCCTGGATTATCCTCCTCCCCTGCCTTCCCTAGAGAGGTCACTTCCATGTCTTCGCCTGAAGCCACTAAATTGCCAAAGCCCTGTCAACCTCCTCACCAGCACACGGGCCAAGTATTGCTCCAGATTCCCTGAGACAGTGGACGATGATGAAGTCCTTTTGCTAACTCCTTAAAGGAAGGAAAAACCATTCCTCTGATTCTTCTTTACCTTTTTTGGGGGTGGAGGAATGATTTATGGTTTAAGAACTGAGCGGTGATTCATCAGATAACTTGGGCATCAATTTATTATGAAGAAATTTCCAAAGGAGGATGGAATAGCAGGTCCAAAACCAGTGCTTATGGTTGAAGCACTTTATGAGGCTGTTCAGGGTGACCGGGCTGTGCTCTCGATTATTTGTTTGCTCTGTTTATCGGTGAGGTGGGGCTGTAGTGTTATCGGAGGCTATATGGTGAAGAGATGAGCTGGAGGGACGAAGAGTAATCACCAGTGCTCTTGAACACGGGGAGGCTGCAGGGGAGGTAACGCTGGGATTAGAGCAGCACTGGGACCTTTGGTCTGAACCAAGGAATTTAGCAAATAAAATATAAGAAGGGAAGGAGATGTGGGGGCGGGGGGAGAAACCAAATGGTGGCAGGAGTATCTGGGAGCATAAGGTGAATTTTTGATGCATTGCTAGAAGGCTTTCAGGGAGGCAGAGGCTGAGATGCCCCGATCGTCCCTCGGTGCAGTCCCTTGACCCCGCGCAGAGCCCTGCAGGGCAGGTGGGTGTGCGGGGA